GGTTCTCAGGTTCGTGGTGGCTGGAGGGAATTCTGGTTGGTTCGGTCTGGTCTGCCCAGCACACTGTTCCGTATCCATTCCTTACCTCCTTGCTATCCTGATCTGTGGATTTGGTCTGGGTGTCCTTTCGACTTTGGGCTTGCTCCTCTACGTCTTTTGGCCATCCTTCTCTGTCCGTTGGACTTCGCCTCCGTCACCGCCTCCCTTCCAACCTCCACAGCATTCCCGCCTTGCTGCCTACCTGCATGAGCGTGCTGGCTATCCTTATCACTGCGATTAAGTCTGCCATTACTGCTTTGAGGACAACTGCAAGTGCTTTGGAAGTGGCTGTTGAACAGGCTGAGGCAATTTCAGGTCAGGTGATCACTGGTTCCACCGTCTCTGAGTGGGACTACATCCCATCTGAGGGTTCTGCAGCTGGCTACTCAGCTGCTCTTTCCAGGGGCTACGACGCTGTGGCCGAAACCATCACCCAAGCTCCTCCTGCTGCTCTGGCTTTTGCTTCACGTCTCCCTGTCTCACCGACTGAGAAGAGGGAGCGGATCCAGCGTGCCTGGGAGGCTGGATTGTGGGCTCGAGCAGTGCTGGAAGGCAGGATTTCGAAACCCAGGCCCACTCCAAAGACAGCACTCCGATCCACTGTCTACGTCATTGTCAGGGCACCTGGACTTGCCCGTCCCTGCTGGGTCTCCAGCGCTGCTGAATACTACAGGATTTTGCCACAGTTCACTGAGGATTCCCTGTCCCACTCCTTTGCCTCACAGGCGGAGGCTCGGGCATACTGCCTGGCCATTGGAATTGATTTTCCTGACGGGCCCAGTGAGCAGCAATGAGTCTTCCTCATCCAATGAGGATTCCAGATCTCAGGACATTGGAGTCAGGCGTTTCTATGACCTATGTCCTGGAATTGCATCGTATGAACCTCGGGAGCGAGGCAGAAATTCATCAGGAATCCTTTATGATTCCAATTTTTGTGAGGAGACAAGGGCTTTTGCTAGCAATGCCTGCAGAGGCTCTACCAGGAGACCTGCTGAGTGCTTCTGGAACTTCAGGCCCGGAGGATTTGGTAGGCCCCTCCAAGTTTGTGAATGTCCCTGCCGTGATGGAGATGGAAGATGGGACGGAGACACCGCTGGACTTCGAGATAACAGTCTTGCTGGTGGATTTGCATGCCAGGGTTTTGGATTTTGTCAGGCAGTTCGACCCAGTGACAGAAGGCGAGGGGATCCTCTCTTTCTCAGCAGAAGGGCCGGACATTCTTCCTTCATCCCCAGACCTTCTTTCAGCAGCTACGACATGGCTGGAGGAGGCACAGGACGAGCGAGTCCAGTACTACTCGGCTGCGGAGGAGGGACCAAGCACTGCCGCCCCGAGAAGGGGAGCTGCCAAAGCGAAGGCGAAGCAGCCGGCACGGAAGATCACCACTGCGGTTTTGTCGGAGCAGTTATCTGCATTGGCCCAAAGTATCCCTGCTATCTCTCAACAGTTGCAGGAGGTCCAAGCCAGACAGCAGCAGTTCGAGAACATCCTTGCTTCCCCTGCCCCACCAGTCTCTCGCCACACCAGCTATCGGCAGGACTTCGAAGTCCCCCCTCTCCCCTCTCGAGGCACTGGCTCGCCTCTTCACTTCATCCAGAAGGTAGGGGCACCTCCAAGAACCAAGACGGTTGCCGCCCCTGTCAAGACCCCAATGGAGGAGGACAAGCTGGCTGCCGGGCCTCAAGAGGAGGATGGGGAGGAGGAGCAGGATTTCCCTTTGGACATGGCCCAGTCCCTCTTCCAGCAGCAAAAGGCCCTGACTGCCTTAGTGGCCCATATCACGAACTCCCAGGATGGACTTTTCGACCTGGGAAGCAGCAGCTCCTCCTCGAGCAACATCTCCCTCAAGGGATCAGCAAAACGAGAGAGGCTGATGGCAGACTTTGCAAGCAGGAAAGGAGATTTTCTTCTGAAGATTGCCCAGAACGCTTTCAAGAGGATGAAGCCATCAGAGGCTGTCCCAAAAACCCTGCAGGAGTTCCGCGGCAAGGCCCTCTTCACAAAGTACTTGGAGAGGCAGGGGGGCTACGGAGGAGGCCAGAGGGATCTAGGCCTGATCATGTGGCTGCTCTCCCACATTGCCAATCTCATGCTGATGGAAGACAATATTGGAGCCAGAGACCTGTTGGCGTTGACCATGGTGACAGTGGAACAAGCAGCCCTGGACGGTGGAAAGTGGGAAGTGGCATGGCTCCTATCGCTTCAAGAGGACCCCCCCAGCGGGGTCTTTGGGGCTCGCCCAGCGTCGACAAACCCTCGCCTGAGGGCTTTTTCCCCACTTTGCCCGCCGGACTGGGCGGCCACGACGCTCTCATTTGTGAAGGAGGTGGACGTCATCAATGCCAGGAGACAAGAAGCTCTCCCAAAGAAACCATGGCAGAAGCCGGAGGAGGGGGATCCCAAAAAGCCAAAAAATCCAAAGTACCCCCAAAAGCCAAAGAAAGGGGCAGAGGAAAGCTGAGGAGCGATTCTACAAGTTTGGATGGTGTATCGAGTTTTGTGCATTTAGGTTTACAGGGTGGTCTTGCTTGTCTATGTTCCGGGGGCTCCAAAGAAGGTCCTTGCAAGACATGCCATTCCGCTACAAATTCAACAGCAGTTGATAGTCCGGCTGCGAAGTTTCATGGACATGATGATACTCCTCCAACTTGGTCCTCCCTGCAACGGTTTTCATTTTCGAAGTGGGCATCCTCACTTTGCAGAAGGGTGCTGGCCACGAAGACACCCTTTTCAGCTTTTCTTCGTGGAACTCTCCAAGTTCGCAGATGCTCTCGTGTTGCGTCTGAGAAGGCCCTGTTCCCTCTTCCTGTGCCCAAGGAGGGAGTTTTTGAAACAAAGAGAAGCGATGGTTCGAGGTGCAGGAGGCGCAAAGCCACAGACCAAGCATTTCACATTGCCATCATGGCCCTGAACTTCTGGCATTCAAACTTTCGGTTTATTCCAGTTGCAGAGCTGTCTTGTTTCCCTTCACAGGCTCAGGGAAAGGTTTTAGACGACCTGAGGAGAACTTTCAGGGCTTTCGGTAGCTGTGATGCAAATTTTGCTGTTCCTGACAGTGGCCGAAGGAGTACGAATTTGATTGCACAACTTTCAGATCTTTGTGAGTTCCTTACTTGGCAATGCCCTGGTAGTGGATCCTACATGTTTGATTTTCCTGGCGCAGAAGGTGGTTTTGAGGAGGTTAGACTTCAGGCAGACACCACAAGAGCTGAGGAGTTGAGGCCGTATCGGCCCCTTTGCCCTGAGCGCATCAAGATCACTGGACAAGGCAATTGGGATCCATCGCCATTTTTGAGTGATGCTCTTTGGTTGGCGTATCAGGAGCCGGAATCCATCAGATGGCGCTCTGAGCCTATTGGAGAGGATGTTCCTGATTTGTCAAAGGAGTCCTATGCTGATGTTCTTGGACTTGCGCGTGTGTGGGATGCTAGAGGTCTTCTTTTCATTTGTGAGCCAAAGAAGGTCAAGTCATCAACGGCATTTATGAGGTTTTTCAATTGCTACAAGTCAGAGGAAAAGGATCGCCTCATTGGTGATCGGCGAGCCCGAAACCAGATTGAAGGGGCCATACCGGGTGCCTCAAAGGCTCTACCTCCTGCGACACTTTTGGCTCAGCTCGAGGTTGATCCCAGGCTGCATACTTTGTCCATCAGTATTTCTGACAGAAAGGATTTTTACCACCAGTTTCATGTCAGTGATCAGCGGGCGTTGTCGAATATTTGTTTTCCAGCGCTGATGGTCAAGGATCTTGAGGGAACTTCTGCTCTTGCGAAAGTTTCTGAAGCTGCACGGGGCCCAAAGAGGTATGATCGTTTGCTGCACGGTGACAGACTGGGCCATGAGAAGGCTTCAAAGCACGAGGGCGTCCATGTTGCATTGGAGGAGGGAAAGTGCTTTGCTTGTTTTGGTTCTCTACCTCAAGGTGATCACCTAGGTGTTGAATTTGCGGTTGACAGCCATCGCTCCCTTCTTCAAACTCATGGTTTGCTTTCTTGGGATGCAGAGATGCGAGCGGATAGGATCTATAGAGGGGTGGATAGAGCTTGCGGTTTGGTCATTGATGACTTTTACAGCATATCAGTTGAGGATGCTAGCGAGCCCACGAAACCCGCTGGCTGCCGTTCGGCATCATGGGCGGTCTCCCAACTAGACCTGGCTTCGAAAGTGTATGAGGCAGAAGGCATTTTGGGATCAACTGAGAAGGATGTGGTCGGCCAAGACAAAGCAAAGGTGACTGGCGCTGAGCTCAATTCTTCCAAGGAGGTCAGACGATGTGGCCGTGTTACCCTAGGAGTCCCCCCTGCAAAGAGGTTGGCTCTGGCACTTGTCTCGCTTGAGCTGGCAAAGCTAGGCTGGACCACCGATTCGCTGCATCTTTGCTTGATTGGAGGTTGGGTCAATGCGCTTCTTTACAGGCGACCAATGATGTCCATTTTCTCTGAGGTTTTTGGCTTTGTGGATGGAGCTACTGTAAGTCAGGAGTGCCCAAAGATTGTGAGACAACCTCGCTCAGTTGCGCAAGAGCTTGCATTGGTTTCCGTCCTCGTTCCTTTCATGAATGCCGACCTCGCGACAGTTTTTGAGCCAAAGATTTATGCCACTGATTCTTCTGACGCAAAAGGAGCCATTGTGGAAGCACCTTTGAAGGTTGATACGGTGAGAGCGCTTTGGAGATCCAGTCGGAAGAAAGGTGGCTATGTGCGCATGATCACCAAGACAGAAGCCTTGATTCAGAAGCTTGATCCTATGTTTCAGCCTCACCTCCCAGAAGGTCTGGTGCCTGATGAGACTGTCCAGAAGCCTCTTGCCCTCAGGTTTCATTTTATTGAAATTTGTGGAGGAGCTGGCGTTGTGTCGGATGCAATGCGCCAGCTAGGGTGGCATGTAGGCCCTGTTTTGGATTTGACTGCCTCCCCCCACTATGATTTGAAGAAGGTGCGGTTTCTGGAATGGGTATATTACCTTTTGGAGCATGGTCTTCTTGATTCTGGCATGGTTGAACCTCCTTGCACTACGTTTTCTCCGGCACAACATCCTGCGTCTAGGAGCTACTCCAATCCAAGAGGTTTTGACCCTCAGGATGAGAAAACCCAGGTTGGCACTACTCTGGCGTTGAGAGGCCTTGCGTGTGTTTGGAAGGGTTCTCAGGTTGAAGCACCTTTCATGCTGGAACAGCCCCGAAAGACCAAGATGAAGAAGCTTTCAGAATGGCGGTTTTTGGTGGAGAGCGGTTTGGCTGAGGAGTTTTGGACAGCATCTTGCATGTTTGGCAGCATTCACAATAAGGAATTTATTTTCTTGTGTGCTCACCTTGATGATGCCCTTCTCCACCGCAAATGCTCAAGAGACCACACGCATGTCCCCATTCAAGGTTCCTACACAAAGGATTCTGCCACCTATGTACCGAAGCTTGGTGAGGCGATTGCAGCAACATTTGACAAGGCCCTCAAGAAGAAGTTTTGCCAGGAGAGGGCTTTGGATGTAAAGATCAGTGGCCTTGAAAATCCCTTTTGCAATGATATCCTCTGCAGTTCAGAGTGGTCCGTAAGAAAGGTTTGGAGATGGAAGAGACCCAGGCACATCAATATCCATGAAACCACTGCCGTGTGTATCCTTCTCAAGGATTTGGCTTTGCTCAGGTCAGGCAGTAGGCCAGTGATTGCTTTGGATTCAAATGTTGGACTTTCTGCGCTTGTCAAGGGTCGTTCTCCGTCACTTGGACTTCAGCCAGTTTTACGAAAGGTAGGGGCCACTGCCATTGCAGGCCACCTCTTTCCAGCCTACCATTTTGCTCCCACTCGTCTGAACCCTGCTGACCACCCCACTAGAGACAATCCTCTTCCTCCTGCGCTCAGCTCAGCCTTGTCTTCAAATGCCTCTCTTTCGGACTTGTTGGATTTTGCTGAGGTTGATCTGTTGTCACGACCGGCTGCCAATTGGATTAGGCTTCTGACCCTTCTCATAGGAGCGGCGGTTCCCTGGAGGAGTCAAGAGGAAGGATGGAGGTTTGCTCACCATTCATGGAGGCATTATCCCTTTTGGTTTCAACTCAGATCGGAAGGTATGAGGAGACAAATGGATTTTGATGCCACCCTTGGATTTCCGGGTGAAGGGCCCTGGATTTTTCGGGTCATTTTCTGGATTTTGGTCTTTCTCTCCAGACAAACCTTCCTCTGCGCGTTGGATTTCCGAAAGCTCCACCGTCCTGGTTTCTCTCTCGGGCATGCCAGATCTTTGTGGGTAGGTTCTTGTTCCGGAAGGTTCGTCGGTCGTGGACTTCTTTTTGGATTTTGTTTGGCTGCGTTGCTTCCTACCGTTCGGAGCCATGGTGGGGTCCTTCTCCCTCGTGATGCCGGGGATAGGGCTAGAGCTGCACAACGAGGGTCACTGGAACTGGTGGAAGGTAGGCCTGTTTTGGGAAAAACTCAAGTGCAGCGCGATAAGCTCCTGGCTGCCTTTGATGAATGGCTAAAGACAGAAGGCCTCTCTTTAGGTGAGATATTGTTTGTTGCCATGCCTGACATTGAAATGATCAACTTACAACTGGAGAGATATGGTCGATGTCTTTACAAAGCAGGGAGACCGTACGGTCATTACTCTGAGACCATAAATGCCATAGCAGGAAAGCGGCCTCGTATTAGGCGAAGCCTTCAACCTGCTTGGGATTTGGCTTACGCATGGATGCGGCAGGAGCCACCGGTACACCACTTGGCGCTCCCCTGGCAGGCGATGTTGGCCTTGGTTACAACTGCATTTTGTTGGGGTTGGCCGGCTGTTGCCGGGATCATGGCAATATCCTGGGGTGGTCTGACACGGATTGGCGAGGCGCTCTCAGCTTTGAGGTCCCAACTGGTTTTACCAAAGGACGTGGAATATACAGCTGATTATGTCTTGCTTCAGATCAATGAACCCAAAACACGATTCAGAGCTGCCCGTCATCAGGTTGCAAAAGTTGATCAGAGACAACTTGTGAAGGTCATTGAGCTCGCCTTCCAGCACCTGAAGCCCCATCAGCGCTTGTGGCCTTTTTCAGGACAAACCATGAGAGCTAGGTTTCAAAAGCTCCTTGATGCAAGTGGCCTTTCATCTCTGCCCAAAAATCTGTCGCGAGGGATTGATTTAGGATCACTCAGAGCTGGAGGAGCCTCTTGGCTCATGATGGTGAGCGAGGATGTGGAGCTCACACGCCGTAGGGGTAGGTGGTTGACGTCCAAGGTCCTTGAAATCTATGTGCAGGAAGTAAGTAGCTTACAATTTTTGCCAAATTTGCCTGGCCCGACAAAACTTTTGATTATTGCCGGTGCCTCCATTTTCCCGTGGATCCTGAGCATTGTTGCCAACTTTCGTCATGCTCAGATTCCCGAAATTGCCTGGCCATTTCTCATCATGAGTGAAGCCGTTGAGCATGAACAGAATGGGTCGAAAATTGAGGAAGACGTGGGTGGTTTTGGTCACATTTCT